AAGTGAAAAAACAATCTTAAGAGCTCTTGTTAAATTAAAAGAAACTTGCGACATCACATCGACACCCCATTCATATGTTTAATTCTCTTTACAAGTACCTTAAACACACTGGTTAATATTTTGTAGAGTTAATATCATCTAGAGTACTAAGAGTATAGTGATTTTGTCACATTTAGTTCTACACTTTCAAATTCACCATCTGTAGTCCTTCGATTTTTAAATTGTTACCATCCGTAGTCCAAGTTAACCACTCATGGTCCTTCTAAGAGGTCTACGACTGATTAAATTTTGAAAGTTGAAAGACCATGTGTGATTAACTTGGACTACGGATGGTAATAATTTGAAAGTTGAAGAACTATGAGCGGTCAATTTGAAAGTTTATGACTAAACGTGGCAAAACCATTATACTCGGAGAACCATAGATGGTATTAACTCTATTTTGTATATAACTTTAGAAAACAAGTGACTCTCCTATGAGACTGTCTCACAAATCCTTATCCGTTGGAGGGGTTAGGTCAAATGAAAATGTAATACTTATACTGAAAAATGTAATATTAGACAGGAATAAAATATTTGAAAAAAGGTAACATTTTTAAAGAAAAATGTAATACTTTTAAATCGAAATATAAAAGTATTACATTTTTCTCATAGTATTACATTTTCCCTTATAAGTGACACTTTATTCCTGATTAGTACTTCGTATTACATTTTTCAGACATTTTCATATTGATCTAATCTGTTTCACAAATAAAATATTCGTAAGACAGTCTCACAAGTTTTTACCTTAAAAACAAAGCAATTAGTGGGTCAAGAATGGAATAATAAGGTCCCGACCAGGCCACCCACCACTCATGTGGAGATAAAGACTTGAGTTTTGAAAATGAAGTGGTCGGCTTGTACTGGATTGCAGCATTGGAGATTTGAAGTTCCCCCTTTTTGAGGGAAAAGGGCATATGTATGTGTTGCCCCACATCCAATGAGGACAACCCCTCTTCTCTTCTCTTCTCTTTTCAGATAACTACTCCACCTTCATTCCAATCCACTTCATTTTGCTTAGGTAATTTAATCCCAAGCACCCAATAGCTTGCAAACTATATCATGGGTCAGAACACCTGGATACTGGTCTAAAATGACATATAAATTATGTGTTTGAAGTTAACATATTATATATCGACATTTTGCAGTTAACAGATTATATGTCTGTAAATAAATTAAACATACATAATATACTAACTGCAACATAATTATTAAACTAAGATCCACAATGTAAGATAGACCCTAATCCATGGTATAACTGAATAGCTACATTAGGCTTCACGGTCATACCACAAATAAAATTAGATTTTTCAATGCTTAATATTTAACTCCGCTTACCTTCAGAAAAGAAAAAAAAAAAAAAAGATTTGCTAAAATTATTCACATTCCAATTACTCCATAGCCTTAAAATATCATAAAGCCTTTGGTTAACTAAGCCTGGAAAGGATGAGTAACAAATTATGAGGTTCAAGAATTTAGAGTGCTTTTGGAAATCGGAAAATAATTTTTGAACATCATTTTTCGAGTTTCCAATATTTTGGTAGAAAGAAAAATGGAAGTCAATAGAAAATAAGAGTGTAATTAATAGAAATAAAGGAAATTTTTTGAAAAATGACTTCTCCTTTTTATGGGAAAAGTCATTTTCCGTTTGCAGCAGTGGAGCAACCAATCACCCGCCGCCGCCGCCACCGCCACCACCACCATCATTGTATATTTTAAATATTTAAAATTAAAAATAATTATGCTCATTTTCCAAAAAATGAACCAAACACACCAAAACAGTTTTTTGAAATGTAACCGAACACTGAATAGGAAAATATTTTCTAAACCAGAAAACTTTTTTAGAAGTCATTTTCCTGCTTTCCAAACACACATGAGACCCTTACTGAATTCCAAGGGAGATATACAGGAAACAAAATTAGGCCTTAAGCGGAGTGAGGCCTTTCTAGAAACCAAATCTCCTCCTATAATAGAGAATACCTGCAAAAGTGGGATATCCAGAATTAGAAACAGCAACACCATATGAAAAAGAAACAGCAACACCATATGAAAAAGAAACAGCAACAAAAAAGAAACAGCAACACCATATGGATCATGTGTAAAGGATCCACTAGGAATAGTAGGCAATAAGAGGTTGATACAATGATACACTTCACAGTTCACTACTTTATAGTTTATACACCATTTTATAAGCTTAAAATCAAAGTGGGATATGATTAATAAGCTATGCCATGAAATTTCACAATGGATAAGCATTCAAATCCACTCTGTCTTGCCAAGACTTGGCATATCTAGACAGACTGCTTACTATCAAGCCTTTCTAGCACCTTCAACAAAGTGCAATGGGCCAAGGATTGCAGGTACTCAAATTAAAACTCACATCATTACTGCACAAGGATTGTAGGTGAATACTGTATGATAATGAAGAGTTGTTGCATACATACAGATATACACCATGTTAAGAGTCCCGAAAAAATAACAGAGAAAATATGAGTTTATAAGGTCATGGGTTAGACTAGCTAAAAGATTGGATTCAGTCTTTTAGTGTGGTTTGGCCCATGTGCATTATAGCCCAGTTACCTTGACGCAATCTTAGATTATAACACACCTCAAAGCAACACTAACAAATTAAAGAATGGATTAGATGGTAGCATTTCAATCTGAGAGCAAACCCTGTCTGCAGAAAAATCATAAATTCCCACATAATTCTGACCAGTAAAAGGAATAAACAAAGTAGCTAGATTTTTATTCTAGATGAACTAAATTGAAGGAAAAAAAAAAAAAAAAAAAAAAACTACTGCAAGTGTACACTAGGGTAAACTCAGTGCAAACTTCCCTTTATTACTGAAAACAACATGTAGATGTAATCACTTATACATATACATAAATGCGGGTAGTTTTTCCAATCTGTGGTGCCAAGTTGCAGAAAAACAGCCTTAAAAATCAAATGCTTATTCAACAAACAGTGCAAGATCTATAATATGTAGCCTATAAGTGACATACATCTGTGGCAGGAAAAAAATTATTAATGTTTTTCCTTGAAATCCTCTCACATCATATTTAACAGTATGAATCTATGAAGCCCAGTTGAGTTAAAAATCCCTAAAATCCAACAGGAAAGCGGAAAAGAGTAATCTTTAATAAAACAGCATTACAACTTACAGTCTGTCCTTTTTTATCTTTAAATTCCTCTAAATCAAAGACTAACCTAGAACACAATCAATAGGTTTCCTCTTTGTTCATTAGTTCACTTTACAGAGATGTCAATGTTTATATTGCAACAAGGAAATGCTACTAGAGAGAGTGGCAAATCAGGCAGTACATACTACATAGAAATTAAATGCTTATTCCCTACAATCCATACTTGAGCCTTCTGGAGAATAAAGTTGGAGGCCGCATGCATCGCCTAACAAGTTGCAGCCACTCATTTGGATTTTGGTGAAAAAATAAACAGAGTAATATTGGCCCACATTGTTATTGGAAAAACATGTGACACTAGATGATTAGTTAGCCCATAAACAGATAATTCCAGTGGCACGAAGCAACTTCAGAAGTTGAAAGCATCCAAAGACAAAGAAATCAGATGAAGACTATTATAATACTGGGATCCAATGTGAAGGAAATACGTGTAACTTAAGTCCTTGAGTGTATTCTGAGCGAGGTTGTAACTGGGATTTTGAACTCAAGAGTCAAGACCTTTCTTTAGGTCATAGTCTCAAAACATGGTGACTAAACCAAGGTGTGAACCTTCTTATTTTACAGATGCAACCATAACCAATTTGAATAACGAAAACGCCAATATCAAGAAAAGTGGTTAAAACTATCGTGACTGGATTAAGAGATTCCTCTATTATAGAGAAAGGCCTAACCAAGGTAATACAATGAAAGAGATACCCATTTTCTAAACCTAACTAAAATGAATACCAGGATTTGGACTCAATATCTAGTGGGGCATATCTGAGGAAAGGCTCAATTTGAATGTTAGCTAATCAAAATTTTTATTTGGGACAATGCCCAAAAGGCAGCTGCCATTCTGCCAATGGGAACCTGCCATCTCAACAAGTTGGGGACCCACATTCAGAAATGAAAAGAGAAGGATCAAGATGTGAGAACAGAACATAATTACCCAGAATTTTAGGCCCAATTCAAAAAACAAGGTCCATCATCCAGGAGTTTACCAGGGAACCTATCAACCAGTAGTTCTTTATTAGAAAGGGAAAGAATTTATTTGCCCTCTCCACCCCCTTAGGAAAAATGAGCAAGAGTAAATCAACCACTGGTGTGTTGAAAAAGACTTGTCATCATGCCTAGTTTCTTTCTAGGTATCCAGATTTTTCCATTGAGTTTAGACACCTCCAACCCTACCAGTATTTAAATGCCACCAGCATGCCTACCTTCCTTAACGAGAAAACTTTCGATCAAGGTTTGGATATCCAGAAATCTCTTAAGAAATGGTGCAATCTCCACCTTTTTATTATTTCTTCATTTATGTTACTCATTCCTCCAGCTAACCGCTTTACTATAATTTCTTTCATGCAGGACACGGGACCCTATTTACAAGAATGGGAAGGGTATGTAGACTGGAGAAATAGACCAGCCTTGAAGGGCCGCCATGGTGGTGTTCTTGCTGTATCTTTTGTCTTGGGTTCGTAAATCTCTAACCTTTTCCATGCACCATTCTCACAATAATACAAAATTGAAATTGCATGGCTGAATTTTATTTTATTTTTGTTGACAATATTAAGGTAATACAAATTATTGATATAAAGTATGCTGATTTCTTTCCATTGTAAATCATCAGTTGTAGAGATAGTGGAGAACCTAGCATACCTGGCGAATGCAAGCAACCTCGTGCTTTACCTCTCAAAATTCATGCATTTCTCTCCATCTACTTCAGCCAACATTGTCACTAACTTTATGGGCACATCGTTCTTCCTTGCTCTCCTTGGTGGGTTTTTGTCTGATGCCCTCTTCACCACCTACTCCATCTTTCTAATAAGTGCAACAATTGAATTTTTGGTAAGACCACTATCTAATCTACTCTTATATAAATCTGTTAAAGCAACAAGCAAGAAAAAAAAAAAAAAAAAAAAAAAAAAAACAATCTAGTGCGTACGGATTTACAAATGGCAAGAGGGAACAATGAGAATGATCATTGCAAGTGGGGCAAAAGAACATATGCAGTTATAGTTTTCCAGTTGGTCACCTATGCTGCTTAAGAAAAACAGTTGCAAACCTTTAGAAATTCTACCCCAGACCCTACCCAATACACCCTGCCAACCATACTGTTCATTGTTGACAGTCTAGGTAAAACAAGTCCAATCTGCACTCTGTGCAGCATCATAACAAGAATCAATTAGGTCTATAGGTCCCCAACTTCATTGGGAATAGCAGGTATATATGTAAAGGATTCACGTAACTACCTAAAAGAAACTTGAACTTCATAAGTTCATTCCTACAAGAATAGGTGTGCCAGGAAAAGATTTATGACATGTATAGTAGTTACAAATAGAAAACATATACAAATAATAGAAAAGAGAAAACTGATGTGTTTTACCTACAAGTACAAATGTCATCATTCTTTTGTGAAGGTCAAAGTTGATAATTTGTGGGGCCAAAAGTATATTTACAATAAATGTTATCTGATAGAGAAGGGTAATAGACATTTATGATTCATGTGCCTTAAGGCTGGTTTAATCCAATCAGAATTCACAAATCACAAACCAGGTCCACACCAGGGGCTAACATTTATATCTTTGATGCCAATACATAGATATATCATTTTCAAGAAAAAGACTAATTAAAATGACACGAGCTTTAATAATGATGTTGGGGTCGTATGGTCCTTCCAGTTAGCATGGTGAATTAACACTTATTATTTGTAACTACAGCAAATAGAAACCTAAATCCAACATTAACAGATCATGTGTTTATGGTAGTGACATAGGACCATAATCGCTTTTTTTTTTTTGACTGATCAAACTTGATGGATCAGGGTCTGTTGATGCTCACAGTTCAAGCACAGATACCTTCTCTGAAACCATCAGTTTGTTCATCACCTAACAGAAACGCCCCTTGTCATGAAGTCAAAGGTTGGAAGTCAGCAATGTTATTTGCTGGCCTCTATCTGGTGGCACTTGGTGTTGGAGGAATCAAAGGTTCACTTCCTCCACATGGAGCTGAACAATTTGATGAGCAAACCCCACAGGGAAGGAAGCAGAGATCAACCTTTTTTAATTACTACGTGTTCTGCCTTTCTTGTGGAGCACTAATTGCAGTTACATTTGTGGTGTGGATTGAAGATAATAAAGGCTGGCAATGGGGGTTTGGTATTGCCACGATAATGATATTAACCTCCATTGTAGTTTTCCTCCTAGGCTCTGCAACTTACAGGAACAAAGTCCCTAGAGGAAGCCCCATTACAACCATCATCAAGGTACAGCTAACAAAGACTACAATTGTATCCTTCATAGCACCCAAAAGGTAACAACTCAGTGATAACTGATAAATTTATTTAACAGGTCCTGGCTGCAGCACTCTGCAATTCTTTTCTTCGTAAGAATCCTAAAAATGCTATTGCTAGCATGAGCGGAACTGAGACTAGTGATGAAGAAGGACGGTCTAAAGCAAAGGCAGAAATTCAGAATGCAACGGAGGATCATGGATTCCTCGGGAAAGCAGCAATCGAGAAGCCAGAGTTCCCATCACTATATTGTACTGTCAAAGAAGTTGAAGAAGTTAAGATAGTCCTCAGAATACTGCCCATATTCATGTCTACTATTATGCTGAACTGCTGCCTAGCTCAGCTGTCCACATTTTCAGTCCAGCAAGCAGCCACCATGAACACAAAGATTGGCTCTTTAAGGATCCCACCAGCTTCTCTTCCAGTGTTTCCAGTCCTCTTTGTCATGGTACTAGCACTAGTGTACAACCATATAGTCATCCCATTTGCCAGGAAGATCACCAAGAGTGAAATGGGCATAACTCATTTACAAAGAATCGGTACTGGTCTAGTCCTCTCAATCGTGGCCATGGCCATTGCAGCTCTTGTGGAGATGAAGAGGAAACGAGTGGCAATGCAAACTGGACTGGTGAATTCTAAAGAACCTCTTCCGATCACATTCCTCTGGGTGGCTTTGCAGTATTTATTCCTAGGCTCAGCTGATCTCTTCAGCCTCGCTGGACTGATGGAATTCTTCTTTACAGAGGCACCATTTAGCACGCGATCACTGGCAACAGCTCTCTCCTGGGCCTCACTAGCCATGGGTTACTTTCTCAGTTCAGTGCTTGTATCAATTGTCAACCGCATAACTGGGACCTTTCGGCAAACACCTTGGCTATACGGCAACAACTTAAACCATTATCATCTGGAAAGATTTTACTGGTTGATGTGCATACTGAGTGGATTGAATTTCTTACACTATCTCTTTTGGGCCAACCGCTACAAGTACAGATCATCCAAGCATGAAGAAGACACAAATTCAAACAATAACATGTCATAATATATAGGCTCAATAATCCTTGTCATGATGGAGCTTCCTTAGCTTCTTCACCACCCACAGTACTTCATGGTATTATCAGTACCTATATATCTTGATGATATATTAACAGCTCTATTTCGGTATTTTAGGCATTTATGCTCTTAATATTGATATATTACCATCTGCAGTTGTCTGCTTTGGAGTAATTAATCTATCATTGAATGGATTTGTATGCTTGTAGTACCATGGGCTCTGTAAGCCCTAGATTGATGATTTCCTAAATGTTGAAACATAATCATATTATTATATTATATATCATTTCCTACCAGTCAAAAGGATTGTTGTATCATGCTACAATGTCTTAAAAGAAACTAAAGTTCTGTTCATAATCATCCATAATACCAGCATTCCAGCAACCCTATAAAAAGACAAATCCACCTGATACAAAGACCTAGTTGAATGAAACATAAAGTCTGATGTGATAACTGCAATGGACTAAACATGCGGAAAAGACACAAAATTAATAAATGTAGGAGCATTCTGGAACACAAATTGAATAGACATTTTCATGTTCACATCACAAGTCTCAAGAATTTACAACCAAAACTAACCATTGACAGTGAAACTTACGGAGATACTCCAAGAAAATGAATCCTTTTCACCATTATCACCATATAAACTCTCTGCCGTGGATAAAGCTAGGGTTTAGATTCATCAAACCACACAAATGTGAACTTACTTTCATCCTGAATTACAAATTGAAAATGTTATGTAAACGGAATTGACATTAACACGCAGGACAATGCTAGATGCCCTATGATCCCTACCAAATGACAATTATGACAACCTTGAACACAACCTTTATTTATTTATTTTTGAAAAAAAAAAAAAACAATAAACAATTTTCATCATACTACTTAAATAAGTCTTATTAGTGTATGGAGAGAGGCTATGCGAAGGTCATGATTCTATCATATTGCCATTTGCTTAACGGTTTCGATCCGAGTATGATTTGTCTGTGTTCTTAGTACATGCAAGAAGTTTTGAAGACACTTTAAAGCAGTACCTTTTAAGTTTATCCCTAAATTAGTGAACAAATGTGCCTATACTTTAACTACAGCGGCTCGCTCGTTTGCAAACTGATCTATCTTGTTGGATTTCTGCTATTCTTAATTATAATGAATGCTTTATTTAATAAAGTTTTGCTCGTTTAGTTTTATAATAATAATAATAATAATAATAATAATAATAATAAGTCTTATTTTTGCCAAGTACTATTTAGTGCTATATGTGTTGTCCATCTAAATGGGTAGTTACAACTTACAAGATCAATAGACTAAAAAGTTTGAAAAAGTATAGAATAGATATTACCTTATAAAGAATCATGAGTGTTTGGTATTATGAGCAATCAATTTAGTCATATAAATTATTAATTGTAGGTACAGAACATATAAAATGTTGGTTAACATGTTATGTATTTGTAGTTAACATATTCTGTATCTAAGGAAACAGACGAGATCTTCTGCTGAGATTCAAAAAATAGTTAATAGAGATTTTGCCGATTGGTTTGCAAAGAGAGTAAGAATTTCACCTCAAATTAATATTTTTAATTAAAATTTAATTTATTAATACAATATTATTGTGTTTTAGATCCTAAATAATGACAACTAAGAAGAAGTGTCAGATGACATTACGATTTTAGCAAGAGATCCACTCATTCATATAATATTAATGGTTTAAGGATGAGGTTCTGATTTAATTTGTTATTCTAATATCATTTTCTTGATGAGAAATTTTATGTGGTCATTGTAAATTTGTAATTCTTATCATAGGCTCGCTTATTTTTTGCAACAACTTATATCTGGAGTCAGCTACTGCCAATCTTCTTCATAAAAATTACTTTATATTTTTATATAAAAATACTTTTTAGTTTTGTATAGAATTTAATTAATATGTAGCCTACTATGCTCAAATATTATTCAATACTACGATTTAATGAATTGAGTTCTCTTTTCCAAAAAAAAAAAAAAAAAACTATTAAATATAATGTTATTATTTGACAAATATATATTAGGTATAATTGATTTTGTTTCAAATTAAATGCAATATGAATTTGAATATAAAGATATAAATATATTTCAGCGACGATTTTAAAACCGTAGCAAATTACACTTAATTATGAAAACACAAAATTATTTAGCAAAATAACTGCGACTAATATTTTAAAAAATAAGCTGACACTTAATAACTACCGCTATTATTAATACTAGTAATTCACCCGCGCGATGCACGAAAAAAAATTATGTTATTATAAATATAAATAAAAAATAGAAAAACTAAAATATTTTAAATTGTTTAATATAATAATATTTTTGAGCTTCCATTCGTCAAGTATTTATTATTTTTATACAATACAAAATTACAATTAAAATTAAAATTAAAATTTTGTATGGTCAATATAATCTCTAATTATGTGCATATTCAAATAAACTTATAGAGAGAATTACATAATTACATTGATTTATTCTTAATTGTATTTCATCTATATTATAATTTTCACGGATGGATTTAATTAACCCGGGGTGGCCCGAATTATTAAACACGGATAAGAACGCAGTATAGATAATAAGTAAATAAATGAAACGATGTCGTCAAGGCCGTGAGACCGTATATTGTATTAAATGTCGTAGAATTGGCTATTACAATAGTATTTTAGGACAAAGTGTGTAGAATAAATGTTAGATGTCCTAAAGAGATAAGGTGTGGGGTTTTATACAACCCCCACCCCCTAAGGTGGGGGGTGGTTAGATCCGCGTTGACCGCGTCCTCTTGACCGGTTCCAGGTCGGCCCTTCGATGGCCGACCTCTCCCTAGCCGACCCCCCCGGGTCGACACCTTGCTCCGCAGACCTCCCCCGGGTTGGCACCCTGCTCTGGCCGAGGTCCTATGGGCCGAGGCCCCACGTGTCGGGGCCCCAGGTCTTGCTCCACCTCTCCGGGTCTTGCTCCACCTCACCGGGTCGGTTTGCTCCGGTCGTAATATATCCATCATCCACAATACGAATAATAACTAAGATAATTACATTTGGAAAGCAAATTTCAAATTTTGTATGAGTAAATTTAAACTCTAATTGAACACATTTTTTATATGATTATATAATATATAGCTATTTTATTTTTCAAAAGTACATTTTTTATATGATTATATAATATATAGCTATTTTATTTTTCAAATGTTGTGCTTTTTTTTTTTTTTTTTTATAATAAAGGATGTTGTGAAATTTTTTTTTTTTTTTGAAAATTTTCTGCGGTGCTTCATTAGAAAAATGCTGAAATAATGTCTGGTGGGTGAGTATCCCAGTACATAGTATCAGGTTGCTGATAAGCCGTAGTGGCTAAAGCATGAGCTAAATAATTGTCTGATCTAGAAATATAATTAAAAGAACATGAGTGAAAATAAACGGCAATTTGCCTGCAGCTATCAATGGCATAGCCAACGTAAGAGCGAAACGCAGTGGTTGATGATGTAAGGTAGCGTTGTAGTGTCAAACAATCCGTGTAGATCTCAATATTCTGTTCACCTCGATCCTTTAGCCATGATAAAACTTCCTTACACGCCAAAGCCTCAGCCATAAGTGGTGACGTACAGGCCGGTAGCGGCGCGGTTAGTGCCGAGATATAGGCTCCATCTCCATCTAATAAAACGGCCCCTACAGTTGCATTTCCTGTCTCGTGTAGATATCCCGCATCGACCCTGCATCTTCTCACTGGCGGCACAGAGGATCCGGCGGCGTCGGCAGCACCGCGGCCGGCGGTGGGACTCGCCTGGGCAGCGTGGCGGTTTTCTGTCGGCAGCGTAGCAGTGGCAGTGGCAGCCACGGCTGGGCGGGACTGAGTCCATGCGGTCTTGGCTGCCGCTGCGGCTCTGAGTAGGGACCCCGGGCGTGGTAAAAATGCCTCCCAAACTGCACCATTTCGAGCTTTCCAAATATTGTATAGAATTGATGCTTCATATAACATTCCATCAGAATCTAAAATATTTAGAAGTTCCCCAAACCAAACATGAAAAATATCCGTGACAATATTGGGGATTGTAAGGTTGGATTGATCCCAAATGTTTCTTGCAAAATCACACAAGACTAATGCATGCATTGTATTCTCATGTGATATCCCACACATAGCACAATATGGGTTCACCTCCACCCTCTTTAAAAGCAAGTTCGTAGTTGTAGGCAAAATATCACAAATAGCTCTCCAGAGGAACATTTTCCACTTTGGTGGAATTTTTAGTCTCCATAAAGCTAACCAATTAGTAAAGGGGCCTTGATTATTCTCATAATCTCCCACCAATCGTCTGTACCCGCTTTTCACAGAATATAATCCTCTCGGGTCCCCGTACCAATACCATGCATCATTATAATCTCGGGATACAGGTACTCTCATAATTCTCTCGACATCCGTAGGTTGAAATAAATCTGATAAAATTTCATTATCCCATGTACCAGTTTGTTGATCTATTAGCCCCACTACTCTGGCCTCTCGTAACTGTATAGGCATCTCTGTTTGTATCATAGGGTCCTGGTCATCCAGTAACCATGGATGGGTCCATATAGATGTAGTTTCCCCATTCCCAATTCTTCGTCTGACCCCACTACAAATTATGCTCTTTGATGCCATTATACTCCGCCAACAAAAACTGGGATTATTTCCTACCTGCGCATCAAAGAAAGTATCCCTGGGAAAATATCGGCTTTTGTAAACACGAGCTACTAAGGAATCAGGCTTAGTGAGCATTCGCCATGCCTGTTTCCCCAACATAGCTAGATTAAATGCACGTAGGTCCTTAAAACCCAATCCACCATACTTCTTAGGAACACATAGCTTGTCCCAAGCCTTCCAGTGAACTCGGTTGTCCGTCCCAGAACCCCACCAATATCTATTCATCGTTCTTTCTATAGCCGTGCATACTGATATAGGTAGCAAAAAAACACTCATTGAGAAGGTAGGCATAGATTGTGCCACACTTTTCAACAGTATTTCTTTCCCTGCCTGAGACAATAGCCTTTTATTCCACGACCCAATTCTTTGGCGTATTTTATCCTCAATATATGCAAAAGCTGCCTTTTTATTCCTACCCACAAACGAAGGTAGACCCAAATACTTGCCAAAGTTTGGTGCCTGCTCCACCCCCAAAACTTGGGCCACACTTTCCCTATCCACATTACTCGTATTCCTGCTATAACAACTACTCGACTTGTGGTAGTTAACCACCTGTCCCGATAGATCCTCATATACAGTCAGGCATTTCTTTATCTCATTAGCCTCTTCCACATTAGCCTTAAAGAATAAAAGGCTATCGTCCGCAAAAAACAAATGAGAAATCTGAGGGGCACCTCTTGCTACCCTACATCCATGAATTAATCTCGCTCTGTTAGCCTGTTGTAGTAACAACGAGAGTCCCTCTGCACAGATAATAAACAAATATGGGGATAGCGGGTCTCCCTGTCTCAAACCACGCGTGGGTATTATTGGGTCACTCCTTGAGCCATTTATCAGAATACTATAGGAGACTGTGGTCACACATTTCATAATCAAATCAACCCATCTATCATGGAAACCCAATGCCATCATCATATTACGGAGAAAAGGCCACTCCATTCGATCATACGCCTTAGCCATATCCAGCTTAAGTGCACCCCAGCCCCTCAATCCACACTGTTTTCGATTCAGAAAGTGCCCCACTTCTGCAGCTAATAGAATATTATCTGTTATCAATCTATCTGGGATAAAAGCACTCTGTGTCTCAGATATTATTCCTTCCATCAAAGGCTTCATTCTATTAGCCATCATTTTAGCTATTATTCTGTAAATGACATTGCTAAGTGCTATAGGGCGCAAATCAGTTACTAACTCTGGATTACTCTTTTTAGGGATCAACACAATATCTGTCTCATTCAAGCCAGACGGGAGGTCACCTGATTCAAGACAGTTTAGCACAAAACTCGCAACATCCCCTCCTACCACATCCCAGAAATGCTGATAAAAACCCGGATTCATTCCATCCGGTCCTGGTGCTTTATCCGGATACATTGCAAACAATGCATCCTTTACTTCCTCCAGATTAAATGGCCGTAATAGTGAGTCATTCTGCGCCTGTGATACCCTGGGTTCTATCCCCCCAAAAAAATCATCTCCAGTTCCCGGACCCCCAGAGCTGAAAATATTCTTAAAATAGTCCAGAATGATATCTCTCATGGGATCCCCCTCCAACCAATCCCCATTGTCATTCATTAATCTAAGTAAAGTATTCTTTTTCTTTCGGTGAGAGGCATACCTGTGAAAGAATTTGGTATTGGCGTCAGCTTCCTTGAGCCAGTGCTGCTTGGCCCTCTGCCTCCAGTATGC